CCTTCTCGTGCGCGCTTTATTCGCGTGGATTGACACGATCTTTCTTATTTAATATTTAATAATTATTACGTAAATCGCAAAACGGTAGAGGACTTCCCTATTTGGTTTAACTTACTTTACCTGCACACGACGATTGAGGCGACAATTACCGGACACCCTGTATATATAAATATTATAAATTATTGAATATGTTTTTTAATAGCAGTTTTCTCCTGGCTTTAAAGTCGATTTGTCAGCGAAAATTCGAAAAGATCAGTTTCTACAAATTTTCACATTTTTTCATCATATAAGTATCTTTGGAACTAAACGTCAACTGAAAATCTTATTGAATTAAATTTCCGAAATTGATTGAAAAATATAATTTTGTTATTTGTAACTTTATAAAGTTTAGTTAAATAAAAGCCCTTTTTGAATCTCAACTCGAAAAATATAGATATACTTTTACATTTTTGTTAAACAAAAATTTGCCCAAATTAACCAGAGAATTTTTCATTAAAAAGAATATTCAGTAATTGGAAATACCCTGCATAAAAAAAAATTGCAATTACAATTGCTAATTGGAAGGATATCTTCCGTATTCTCTATTTATGCAAAACAGGGATATTTATATAGAACGAAATTTTAGAAAATATAGTACAATTTATATTGAAAATAAAAATAAAATAATTTTTCGAAGCATTCGTCGAATTACAAAATTATGAAGTATTTTAAATATGTTCGCGAAAAAAAATTCTGTATTATTTTCGTATATCAGAAGCGCGTTTGTATTTAATACAAACACGTGAAATTGAAGAGAAACAGTCCCATTTTAGTGTCGAATTTTCCAAATAACGTGATAATTGCCCAAATGCTCAAACACAATCTTTGACTTACAATTAGATGAAAATAAAAATAGAAATCAAGGATTTTTACCAAGCGATAAAAGAATTTATTTAATTTTTATCGCTTTATTTTTAATTAGTATTTTAATTATTATTAATTTTACATTTATTTTTATTTTTCTAAATTTAATAACATTTTTTAATATATTCGCGAGTTTTTGTACGTTTAATGTTAAGATTGAGCAATTAAAAATAGTAAAAAAACTATTAATCTCGGCTCGAATTATTGTGTTACAATAAAAATAAAATCTCGACGGCAATCGGAGCCTATGCGGATGACATGCACAAAATTAATAAATTAAAATGAGATCTCAAGTCAAACTCATTTATTAAATTCTAAACGTTTCGACCCACTTCGGGTCTTCTTCAGTAGCTGCAAAATACAAAGAAACAAAAATAGAAGATAGGGATTTGAATAGGGAGGAGAATGATATTTAATTTATTTGCGGATTGTATTGGAGAGTAGAGCGATTGCTGCGATTCCATTGTCATTTCCATTTTATTTTAGATATGTTGACGATATCGCGTTGGCGGCCCACCCTCCATGCTTAAAATAGTTTTAAACACTTTCAATTCTTTCCATCCTAGATTGCAGTTCACCATGGAGGAGGGGTTGACAACCGATTGAATTTTTAGAGGTCACCATTATTATAAATAATGGGAGCATTGAGTTTGATTTGTTTCATAAGCCGACGTATTCAGGTAGATATTTAAATTTTGAATCGCAGCATCCTCTCTGTCATAAAAAAGGCACCATTATCAGCTCCAGATAGAGTTTTTTGGCTATCTCATCCGAAATTCCATAAAGTTAACTTTGAGTCTATGATTGAGTTCTTTTGTCTAATAATTATCCTCTCAATTTGATATTTCACACATTACAAGCGCGGTTAAAAAAGTTGTTCTTCCGCTATAATAATAAGTGCATAAAATAGAGCAAATGTATGCAATGAAAAGATTCTAACGCAGAAAAAAGTTTCGTACTTTAATATTCCGTATATTAATAATGTGTGGAATTGCGGGAATTCTCTCCCGAATGGGAGACGGCGCGCTGAACCTTGGGTAAAATAAATGTTACTGAGGTGATGAGACAGTCTTTATTCACGACCGAGGATACACTATGGGCTCACAGGCCACGTTCGGCCACGGTTTCGGTGCGAAGGCTCTTTGCAGCCAAGGCAATAAAGGCGCTGAACAGCGTACACGAAAACTCGCTAATCGCGGCTATATACAATCAGTGGCGGAGTATCGCTTTCTCCGCGTTTTATCGCGCGCACCGTACTGCCTTAGTCTACGAGGTATTGATTGTTTTGACGACGAGCCCAGTCCGAAAACGACACAATAATGGTGGCTCGTCCCGGGGACGAGAGACCGGAACCCCCGTACGCCTTCTTAACTACCAATGGTCGATTGCCAGCACGATCAATCGACTTCGTTATTGGTTCAGTGGTAGGATCACGCGATCGCCATCCGGCGGCTCGGCGTCACGTACAAGGAGCGTGATTATCAGGCGATCATTTATGTCGTTGAAACATAACGCAACATACCGCCCGCCTCGGAGCTTTCCGAACGATGAAATCATAATCGCGCCGCCCGCCGTGACGATGTTGATTAGTACATGAGCGCGACTTCATTACATTTATTTTCATGTATACCACATCTTTGTATAGAGTTTACAATGGAATTTAATTTTTAGACGTATCAGCAGAGATGGCTCGTGGAATGTCATCCGCAGCGTCATGGGATTCACGTCAATCGGTAGAAAACATAATTTTGTGACGGCTCGCTTGTACTTTGAGCGGGCTGTCTTGACAGTAACGACCCGGACTAAGCCATCGTCTCCCGGATGGCATTCCACGATCCTCCCAAGTTCCCAAGCGCAGGGAGGCGCTAGCGGATTTCGCAATAGTACTAAGCGCCCTACCGGGCTAAACTCTGCCTTTCACGCCACTTAGGCCGTTGTTGCAACGTGTGCAGATAGTCCTGTGACCATTGCTTCCATAAACTATCGCGCATTTGACGAATGAGCTGCCATCGGGTAAGACGCGTTTCCTTTTCGTCGAGTAGAGACGTTTCTGGCATCGTTAGCATCGAGGATCCAATGAGAAAGTGGCTCGGAGTAAGAGCGTGATAATCATCGTAATTATCCGACATCTGCCCGAGAGGCCGCGAATTTAGACACGCTTCGACTTTACATAATAAGGTGCTCATCTCTTCGATTGTGAGCGTGTGAGCACCGATGACGCGCTTTAGATGAAACTTAACGCTCCGAACGCAGGCCTCCCATAATCCACCGAAATGTGGAGAGGACGGAGGAATGAATCTCCAACTGATGCCTTTCTCCGCGAGGTTGTTTAAAATATTCGAATCGTGAGTAGCCGTATGCCAAGCAGTAGCTAGTTCGCGTTGAGCTCCCTGAAAATTAGTGGCGTTGTCCGAATACATCGCGGTTGGAACACCTCGACGAGCACAGAACCGATCGAAAGCAGCCACGAAAGACGGCGTTGACAAATCACCTACTAGTTCCAGATGAGTCGCTTTAACAGTCATGCAGATAAATATGGCGATATATGCCTTTTGCGACTTGTGTCCCCGTCCCGGTGTCGTTCGCACTTTAATTGGTCCGGCATAATCGATTCCGCAATGAGAAAACCCGCGAGCAACAGGGCGAACTCGATAATCCGGAAGATCGCCCATCAACTCGGAATGATTTTTGCGTTTTCACGAGTGCAGGCGATGCAATGGTAAAGAACTGACCGTATGGTTTGGCGAGCGCGGATTAACCAGAAGTCTTCGCGAAGAATTGACAACGTCAAGCGCGATCCGGCGTGCAGAGCATGTAGATGAATGTGACGTATAAGAGACGAGACTAATGAATGCGATGCGAGTACAATTGGATGTTTCGTTTTTTCGGCGAGTTCGGAATGACGGAGTCGGCCTCCGACTCGAATTAAATCGTCGTTGTCGAGGAACGGATTTAAGGAGGCTAGTTTGCTGCCCTTTTGCACGGACTTACCATCCTTTAAACGTAACAGCTCTGTCGAGAACAGTTGTTGTTGAATGGACTTCAGCCAAAATTTTCGCGCGGAATCAATCTCATCCGGTGCTAGCGACAGCGATAGTTTGGTGATGTTCCCCGGAGCGTTAGGGCTCGCCAATGGCTGTGACCGGCGATATCGAAGACGTTGCGTGAATCGCCGTATATATGCGGTCACTCGCAATAATTTTGTCCATGACGAAAACCGCGTCATTAATTCCCATTCGTTGGGGGTTTGAGCGATATGTACATGAGCGCGAGCCTCCGTAAGCGACTCTGTTGTGACAGATTCACTTCCCTCCGGCCATTGAGTCGAGGGTAACTGAAGCCACGCGGGGCCTTGCCACCATAATAAATGCTCCTTTAGGTCGGCCGGCTGGACGCCTCGTGAAGCGAGATCGGCAGGGTTTTGCGGTGATGGAACGTGGTGCCATATCGCGTTGGAACTTGACTTTGAACCTCGTGGACCCTATTGGCCACGAAAATTTTCATCGAGCGGGAGATTGCTTGAGCCATGCTAGTACTACCGTGGAATCTGTCCAACAGTGACAAATCATTGAAGGGATATGGATCAGAGTTCGCACGAATGCAATGAGGCGAGCTAATAACACCGTCGCGGATAATTCCAACCGCGGAACCGTGAGGGGTTTAAGCGGGGCGACTTTAGATTTCGCGCTCATCAACGTGATTTTGACTGATCCGTTACGTTTGGTCAGTTTTAAATAAACGACGGCTCCATACGCGGCAGTAGACGCGTCAGCGAATCCATGAATTTCCGCTGAAACCGTGTCGGACCCATACCCGTTCCATCGCGGAATTAAAATCTCGCGCAGAGTCGATAGGTGCGCGTAGTAGCTACGCCAAGCAGCGAACAATTCATGGGGAAGTACGGCGTCCCACTCACATCGCGCCGTCCACAGTTTTTGCATAAAGATCTTCGCTGTTATTACGACGGGTGTTAACCACCCAAGTGGATCAAAGATGGTAGCGATGGTCGCTAAAACGGCGCGTTTTGTTGCAGGAACCTCGGTCGACAGCGATATTTCAAACTGAAACGCGTCAACGTATGGGTTCCATTTGAGACCCAAGACCTTTAGAGAATCGTCCGTTTGCAGGGTCTTGGCTTGCGCCAGACCATGATCATAAGGATCGATATCAGCAAGCAACGACTGATTGTTGCTTGCCCACTTGCGAAGTTGAAAGCCTGCTCTATTGAGTAAGGATACAAGCTGATCCTTTGTCTTACAAGCGAGCGGTATATCGTCTGCGCCGAAAACACAATCATCAACATAAGTATGCTGTTGAAGGACTGATACTGCGGCGGGAAAGTCATGGCCGTCATCGAGAGCGAGTTGGTTTAAAACTCGGATGGCCAAGTAAGGTGCGCTTGCTGTACCGTAAGTTACGGTTTGCAATTGATAGTCTTCTATCGGAGCGTCGACATCGGATCGCCAAAGAATCCGTTGATAGTCGGTGTCGCGTTGATCAACTAAAATTTGCCTATACATTTTTGCAATATCTGCGGTATAGACATAGCGAAACTGTCGCCAGCGCGTGAGGATCGATGGCAAATCGGTTTGTAACTTCGGACCGATCATGAGATGATCGTTAAGCGACAAACCATTTGACGTAGGCGAGGAGGCATTGAACACGACACGCAGATGGGTCGTGGCACTGTGTTCACGTATGACTGCATGATGAGGAATGTAAATTATTTGATTAGAATTGTGGCGCGGCGATGACACTTTCATCATGTGTCCTAATTGTTTATACTCTTGTAAAAACGCGTGGTATTCGGTTGCTTGTTCAGGCCGCGCTTTCAAACGAGCTTCGGCTCGAGTATACAAGGCTAGAGCCGCCGACCTTGAATCGCCGAGGCTCAATGGAGGAGGCGTTTTGAATGGGAGCCTGACTATGTATCTCCCGGTCGGAGAGCGAGAATGAGTCGACGCGAAATGTTCTTCGCACCGCTTTTCCTCCGGAGAGATGTGACGCGAACGAGGGAGTTCTTCAATCTCCCAAAAGCGCTTCAACTGCATATCGAGGTCCGCATGCACTGTGCAGTGATGCGTCGATAACTGATGGGAGGCGGACTCTAGTTCCGTGAACATAGGTCCGGAGAGAATCCACCCGAAAATGGAGTTTTGCGCTACGGGTTCTTGTGAAGATCGCGATCGAATGCCTGATCTCAGAACTGATCCGTAAAGGTCAGCTCCAATAATGATATCGATGGGCTCCGAGCTTGTTGGATCGCTGTCGGCTAGATTGAGAGAGCGCAGATATTCCAACTCGGCGAGAAATTCCACGCGCTGTGGAATAATTTGTTAATGTCTTTAATATCAAAGCAGTCACGGACAACACAGGACCTGACATGTCGCGGGGGGAGATGTCAATCCGTGCTGCTTGTTTGGCAACGGACGCCGCGCATCCGATGCCTGTTATCGAGACTGAAACACGAGATCGCTTAAGTCGCAAGCGTTGAGCTAATCGTTCTGAAATGAGAGTTGTGACCGAGCCCTGATCCAATAATGCGCGTACGACGTCCCGGGTGCCGGTAGCGCTATGAACCGCGACCCAAGCTGTCGCGAGTAGAATGCCAGTTTTTGAAAAGTTAACGCGTGAAACAACGTGCGTATTAATCGAGACGGGTTCATCCGCCGTCGAGGTGCTCGCAGTCGGAGAGCGTGCTTCATTAACTTTACTCGTGTCGCCTTCGTGGAGAAGAGTATGATGCTTCTGTTGACACTGTTGACACGTATGTTTGCTTTGGCAATTTTTTCGATTATGCTTGGTACTCAGACAATTGTAACAGCACCGAACCCTTTGAGCTATTTCTCGACGTTCGCTTGCGGGTTTATTTCGAAATTCCGGACACGCAAATAATAGATGCGGTTTCTGACAAACGGGACATTTCATTGCACTTGTATTTGTTACATGGCTTTGCACCGACAGCTGATTCGAAGTCTTGCCCTTATTGAACGGCAGAATATTCTCAAAAGCGCGTATACGCGAGGTTAAAAACTGTTCGAGACTATCAAACGTGGGATATTCGGTTGTATCTCCGAGCTGCAATTCCCACGCTTTTCGAGTGGCCTTATCGAATTTTTGCACGATCAAATATACAAGAATATCGTCCCATTGGTCCACCGCCCGCCCGAGATGTTTTAACGCTTTAATTGCCACGTTCGCTTTATCTCTTAACGCGGAAAGCGCGGACGCGGATTCGGAATTAATCGGCGTGAGTGATGTCAACTCGTGAATATGCTCGTGCACCAAGCGTCTTTTGTTATCGTAGCGTGCTATTAATAAGTCCCAGGCGACCTTGAAATTCGAATCGACTAACGCGAGATTTCGCACGATATCGAACGCGTCGCCCTTCACGCAGGAATGTAAATATTGCAGGCGATTTACATCTACGAGATCACTGTTCTCGATTATCAACGCTTTGAATTGATCGCGAAACGATTCCCAATCGCTAAATTCGCCGGAAAATCTCGGCAAGCTTATACGCGGAAGTTGAAACGCTGACCGGGATGTGAAGACGTTTTGACGATGGCTTACGATGGATGACGGCTCGGGAGTGGATGTCGCTTGGGGTTCCAGCTGCGCTTCCCATTCGGCCATGTAATCAGAGGCGGTATAATATGCTGCTTCACAAGCGGAGAATCGGTCCTCGGTGAAATATTTGTGGGTGGCGACGAAGTCCTCGGTTGCGAGAGCGAGTACCTTGGCATGTGTATGCTCGTATCGAGCATAATCATCCTTCAATTTTTGCAGGCGGGATCGCACGATTCCGTACGTGAGATTGTCTTTTCCGATTTTTTTAAAATTCTCCAATGAGCGAGTGATTGATTTGAGCGTCACCTTTTGTTCGGCCAATAGCCCTTCCATCCTTACAGCACAAGGTTGACCTGACACTAATGATATGCAAGTACGATTGCTTGGACTTGCCCACAATGTTCCGCTCGTACGTGTTCCGCGGAATGATCACCTCGGTCGTAATGATCAACGATATAATTGACGCGGTCGTATGCCGATGGATCCGCCAAATGATTGTCACTGTCGCGCGCCGATCCGGCTCGAAGGACCAAATTTTATGTGTGGAATTGCGGGAATTCTCTCCCGAATGGGAGACGGCGCGCTGAACCTTGGGTAAAATAAATGTTACTGAGGTGATGAGACAGTCTTTATTCACGACCGAGGATACACTATGGGCTCACAGGCCACGTTCGGCCACGGTTTCGGTGCGAAGGCTCTTTGCAGCCAAGGCAATAAAGGCGCTGAACAGCGTACACGAAAACTCGCTAATCGCGGCTATATACAATCAGTGGCGGAGTATCGCTTTTCTCCGCGTTTTATCGCGCGCACCGTACTGCCTTAGTCTACGAGGTACTTGATTGTATTGACGACGAGCCCAGTCCGAAAACGACACAATAATGGTGGCTCGTCCCGGGGACGAGAGACCGGAACCCCCGTACGCCTTCTTAACTACCAATGGTCGATTGCCAGCACGATCAATCGACTTCGTTATTGGTTCAGTGGTAGGATCACGCGATCGCCATCCGGCGGCTCGGCGTCACGTACAAGGAGCGTGATTATCAGGCGATCATTTATGTCGTTGAAACATAACGCAACAAATAATGTATCGAAGAGAATCGAGGACATTACACGTGATTTGGATGTCATTCCATCATATACAGCAATTAACAGTCTCCGTAAATTCATTAAAGTACACAAGGATAAGTTACCAAGAGAACTCCATAATAATGTAGTTTATAAAATTGATTGTATGGATTGTGATGCGTCGTACGTAGGGCAGACGGGTAGATTGTTGAAAACTAGGATGAAAGAACATCGCAACAACATAAAAAGAAACGCGTCACAATTATCAGTCATATCGGAACATAGATTATTGAACCATGAATTTAATTGGGAGGATGTAAAAGTCTTAGACGAGGAGCCTTTTTTAGGTAAACGTTTGATATCCGAAATGATCCACATAAAACGTCAGAGGAATAGTTTAAATTTACATAGCGACACTGATAAATTAAACGAGAATCTTGATCTGTTAATAGAAAAATTTACCAAAATCTAGCTTTGTGATTTTACATAACCGGGTTTTTTTGTTAGACTTTTGATATGAGTGCCGATTAGTTTAGTTGCTTTTATTTTTATTTTTATTTTCATATTTTATTTTTATATTTGTTTTTTGCGTATATATGTATCGACTGTGTCGAGGTAGAATACCGCACAGTCGTTAGAGTGATGTGTCACGTGTAGCATCGTCTTCTCTCTGTTTTTGCTGTCGGGGTGAGTGTTCTTCCCGGTTCTTAATTTTTAATTCTTGTGAATTGTTCTACGTTTAATTTATACCATGTTGATTAGTGTTGGTAAGGGAGTCACTGCTCCGCTTCCTTCCTGACGATGGTCACCGTTAGGGAGACACTCCGACGGCCGGACGGTTTGAATAGGGAGGAGAATGATATTTAATTTATTTGCGGATTGTATGTATACGAGTTTTATAATTTTCTGATTGTACCGATTATCTTCTATTTTTGTTTCTTTGTATTTTGCAGCTACTGAAGAAGACCCGAAGTGGGTCGAAACGTTTAGAATTTAATAAATGAGTTTGACTTGAGATCTCATTTTAATTTATTAATTTTGTGCATGTCATCCGCATAGGCTCCGATTGCCGTCGAGATTTTATTTTAATTAAAAATAGATTCCGATTTATTTGGTTAAAAATATTGGTGGAATATCTCTGTAGCCGGTTTAAAAAGAGCTTTTATAAAAATCCGCGAGTGAGAAGCGCGGCATTGATTTACATATCTGCATGGCACGTGTATGCTTGTTCATAAAAAGAGGTCTTGGACATGAAAAATGCAGTATATGAAATGATTCGAGATTGAGCACGCGGTTGCAACGAACGATATATTCGCACGTGATTAAATAGCCTTATAAACAAGTTTTAATAAACAGACAAAGATGCTAAGAGTGTCTGCATGTCGGCATACTTGTATATAGCTTTGCATGCTCTTATTTTATAAATAATACACATACAAGGAGCTACTTATTTCGAGATAAAACAACTAACTTTCATTTTAATATATCTATTTATTTTTATAATTTTTATACTTATATATATATTTTTCGCGCTATGAATATTATTAATGACGTAGCTGATTAATTTTTAATCTAAAAGTGAAAGGATCTTGGCGAATTGAGCGTTAAAGTCCAAATTTAAAATTTAAAGAATTTATATTACAAAAGTAATATGTAAAATTACAATATACATATAAATAATGAAACATTCTATATATTTTTATTATTTATCTTGTAACTTTACATTTATTATTTATGTAATTATACGTGTTTTTATATAATATATTGCATATCCTTTTACGAGAAACGATGATAATTTTGAGAAGCTTCGTGCATCTTAAATATCATCTCTCTCTCTTTTACATGGTTCCTTTTTTATTTTTATCATCAAAAATCAATTATCATTTATGTAATTTTACATAATTTTGTGTAACATATTACATATTTTTTACAGTATACGCACGCTCGATGTATTCAATTGTGTAATGTTTATGAATCTTGTGTTTTCCTTGCAAAACTACATTATTCGCTTGACCAACGAAAATACTCTAATTATTGCATGAATAATTTTTCGTAACAATTATTCAATATTTTAAACTCTCAAGAATTTTCTATCTTTAATATTAGGAATTTTCAATATATGTTATATGCGATTTCCAACATTTTATATAATAAATTTCGTGAATATTACTACAATTTAATGTCCATTACGACAAAAATATTGCAATTACAATGAAAGCCTTATTCGGCACAAATTTTCTCCGCAAATGTAACAATTTATTATTTTACGATTGTGTGGACAAATAATACGTATTTATTGTTGGTGTTTCGATTGCGATATAACTTGTATCGAATTCTCAGATAAGAAAAGTCAGCAGCATGAAAGATGTGAAAGTTGCATCCATAAGTGATTTGTTTTAATAATAGCCACACTTTTTAGATTTACAGAAAATTTCGACGGATTAGATCATCCATTGAACTAGAGGGGGCATTTTGGGTCTTTTTAATGATCGGCATTTAACTCGTCATGTAACTCATGGCTAATGATTTCATAAACATATATAATCATACTAAAAATGTTTTATTTTTGCAAATAAAAAATAAAAAAAAAATTACTTTTGAAATATATAAACAATAAAATTATATATTATTCTTAACTCTTTTAGACTGCCAGCATTTTTTCATTAAAATTGAGGTTTTTTCCTCAAAATTTATCTATATAAGTAACATACACATCGTACACAATTTCAAAGATTTGTACCAAGCCACAAAAGTGACTTTGCCAACAGTTTAAGGGTTAATTAATACAATTAAGAATTAATAATACTATTAAATGTAATCAACAAGCGCGCGCAATATCATATAAGATAGGCGCGTAATTGAGCAAATGCTGGCAACGATAGAAAGATTAAACAGAGGAAAAGGCGAGGTAGATGAAGGAGAACGAAGGAGGAAGTGTGGAAGAAAAGGTGGTGAAGAAAGAAGAGGAGGAAGAGATGGGACGAAAGAGAAGCAAAGACTAGAAAAAAAAGAGAGAGAATAGGAATAGGAAAAGGTTAGAAAGGGGGGTAGAGGCAAAGGGGGTCGAGGAGAAAAGAATTCAGTAGGAAAGGATAGGATAGGATTAGAGGGACAGGGGGGAAGGGACCCAGTTATATTGTAAGGTCGCAAAATGGCTAGGTAAGGAAGAAGAGGAGCAGAATTGTATTTAAGAGAACGGTGAGGGGTGAAGGGGAGAAGCAAAGAGAGAGTTATGATTTTCTGTTATTGTATCATATTGTATATACATTACAATGTAACAATATGTATGATAATGTTTGATATCAATGATATGTGATAATGCAAATAGGAAAAGAGAGAAGGAGGTTGTAAGGGGTTTGGCGGTCCTCTAAAAACGCCCCGGCAAGCCTTAATTAAGGGGAGTCCGGAATAAACCTGAACTATATGTAAATAATATTGTAGGCGAATTATTATTCTACCGATATTCATTTATATACACGCGTGAGCGGCGAATTACGTTTCCTCTCCCCCCCTGGCGGCGCTGCGTAAGAAAGAAGGGAGAAGGTTAAGAAGGTCAGTTCCCCGCGGAAAGGGAGAGCGGTTGGACAGATATACGGCAGTGAGCCGTCGTGCGTGTTCTATCGAGTACAGTTTAACCTAATAAAGATCCTTTGTTAAGATCCACTAGAAGCCTTATTAGAATTACGCCCTGACATCATCTAAAACTATCCTGACACCACCTACAACTTCAGAAGTGGGATCGAAGAAGAAGTTAGCGAAGGATCCGTGAGGTTAATACACGCACGAGAGATACACGGGACTTTGAAAAGTACGACCAAGTGTTGTGGTCGATGCAGAGAAACCGTGTCTTGTGTTACTCGAGTAGGGGACAGAATATTCCGCGCTGTGTGCCACGAATATTTTGAAAATTATTTGCGCTGTGTGCCGCGAATCTTTGCTCGTGCTAAAAGACAGAATATTCCGCGCTGTGTGCCACGAATATTTTGAAGGTTATTCGCGCTGTGTGCCGCGAATCTTTGCTCGTGCTAAAAGACAGAATATTCCGCGCTGTGTGCCACGAATATTTTGAAGGTTATTCGCGCTGTGTGCCGCGAATCTTTGCTCGTGCTAAAAGACAGAATATTCCGCGCTGTGTGCCACGAATATTTTGAAGGTTATTCGCGCTGTGTGCCGCGAATCTTTGCTCGTGCTAAAAGACAGAATATTCCGCGCTGTGTGCCACGAATATTTTGATGGTTATTCGCGCTGTGTGCCGCGAATCTTTGCTG